TAATACACCAGTGGATCTCCTTGTTACCGTAGAAATCTCAATAAAAGTCAAAACACCAGTGCATCTCCTTGTTACCATAGAAACCTCAATAAAAGTTAATACACCAGTGGATCTCCTTGTTACCGTAGAAACCTCAATAAAAGTTAAAACACCAGTGCATCTCCTTGTTACCGTAGAAACCTCAATAAAAGTTAATATATATATATAATATACCAGTGGATCTCCTTGTTACCGTAGAAACCTCAATAAAAGTTAAAACACCAGTGCATCTCCTTGTTACCGTAGAAACCCTGATAAAAGTTAATACACCAGTGGATCTCCTTGTTACCGTAGAAACCTCAATAAAAATTATTACACCAGTAGATCTCCTTGTTACGGTAGAAACCTCAATAAAAGTTAATATATATGTATAATACACCAGTGGATCTCCTTGTTACCGTAGAAATCTCAATAAAAGTCAAAACACCAGTGCATCTCCTTGTTACCATAGAAACCTCAATAAAAGTTAATACACCAGTGGATCTCCTTGTTACCGTAGAAACATCAATAAAAGTTAAAACACCAGTGCATCTCCTTGTTACCGTAGAAACCTCAATAAAAGTTAATATATATATATAATATACCAGTGGATCTCCTTGTTACCGTAGAAACCCCAATAAAAGTTATTACACCAGTGGATCTCCTTGTTACCCTAGAAACCTCAATAAAAGTTAATACACCAGTGGATCTCCTTGTTACCATAGAAACCTCAATAAAAGTCAAAACACCAGTGGATCTCCTTGTTACCATAGAAACCTCAATAAAAATTAATACAACAATGGATCTCCTTGTTACTGTAGAAACCCCAATAAAAGTTAATATATATATATGATATACCAGTGGATCTCCTTGTTACTCAGAAACCCCTATAAAATTTATTACACCAGTGGATCTCCTTGTTACCATAGAAACCTCAATAAAAGTTAATATTTATATATAATACACCAGTGGATCTCCTTGTTACCGTAGAAAACTCAATAAAAGTTATTACACCAGTGGATCTCCTTGTTACCGTAGAAACCTCAATAAAAGTTATTACACCAGTGGATCTCCTTGTTACCATAGAAACCTCAAGCAATTTAAAACACCTGTGTGACTCCATTATATATGTGTTACAATTGTAAGTGACCAATGATCACTCTAGATAAAGGTCAAAGTGAAAGGTCAAAGTGTCAGCTGTTCACGTTTCCTTTGTATGGATTTACATGCTGGACTTCCCCCCCCCCCCCCCTATGAAAGGGACATACATGTAGCTTCAACTAATCTCGCTGTAGTCAAGTTTAATACAAACATTGACCTCATGCTACTAATTCAGTACCCTTTGTCCTATGCAGCCCTAGTTATCTTTTCTTTGATATTTCTAATAAATGTTACCTACATACATGTATGTTAGCAACATTAACATCAACTTCAAATCTTTGGCGAGTACATCCTCGATACTCCAGGGGTTACGGTCACCTCATCCTCGATACTCCAGGGGTTACGGTCACCTCATCCTCGATACTCCAGGGGTTAGGCTCACTTTCGCTCTCTGCTCCTTTGGAATATGCCAGCATAATTGAAGACTAACGGTTAGCTATTTGGTTGGTGTGGGTAAAAAAAAACTGGCCAGTCACAAAGCTAATAAGTGTCCCTTGAAGATTACAAAGGAGTGACACCTGACTTCAGAGCCAGTCAATTTTACCGTTATGAGATCGTGAGATTCTTTTGATGTACATCAAAGGATCAAACTAGTCTTCTCGTCTCATCCACAAGGTGGCGAACACTGAGCCTTCAAATTCGATTTCCAGGGGTGCAGAGAGCGAGATTGAGCGTATCCCCTGGAGTATTGAGGAGGATGTAGGTAGTGAACCAGCAGTCCTGAAACTTCTTGGATGATAATTCAGTTGAAGTCATTTAATGTTTCTTGTCCCTTGTAAATATATTCAAATTAAATTTTCTTAGAATAAGATTTAGTCCTAACTTACATGTAAAATCGATTTGAATATGGATGTTTTGTATCTACCACAGTGACAGTGCTGGCCATATTTAGTGATCTGAGGGTGGACGTCGACTTGTTTGCCTTAATCTTTGGAGAGAGCGTTCTCAACGACGCTGTGGCCATTGTCTTGTCTGAGTGAGTAACCTTGTGTTTATGCTGTTTTCCATCTAGCTTAACAGGATTATATTCAGTAAGATTTCTTGTAGGAATTTTCTTTTCCTATTTTGAAAAAACATATAATAAAAAAAATCACATTTTTAATATCATTTTTCATCACTCCTTGTGTAGGAAAATTGAGTTATACTGTATGTTCCTACAACTTTTGAAATTACACACATCAATTATAAACATGCTTAACGTGATTTGTATGATAGTCAGATTAATTTTGTTCCATACTTAAACAGATCGAACCTAGTAGGCATTTCTCTGAAATAAGCTGATATTTCCTCCTTTATCTCAAACAGATAATACGGTTTATATCATGTTGGCTACCAGCCAGGTGACTTCAGTTTGAAAGTATCATTAAAAAAAAGTTGTGAAACAAAAATCATACGTCATGGTGATGTTTTCAATTTGTGGTACAGTTATAAATAAACAGAAGCTTAAACATCTGCTGTCAATAGGAAAATCTATAACAATATAAAAAAGTACAATTTTATGAACATTTATCATGGCTGTAATAACATCTACCCACACTGTCCACTGATCAAAGATGACCTCAAAGAGATAAAAAGATGTATATATAGTTCTGCCAGAGTATCAGGAGATATTTTTATGTCTAGATTTGTATAAAATAAATGCAGCCACAGAACTATCCTTAACTCATTCGCCCCTACATATCTAAAGTGGACTTGCCCAGTCATTGATTTGGTAAGGTTCAAATGTGACTTTAGGGGTGAATCAGTTTATAGACCATGTCACGTGTAACAAGCCACAGTAATGCAACCACGATAGTAGGATTTTAGGTGTCATGTGGTTAAGATTTAAATAAAAAAAAGAATATTTTATATACTGTATTTATCCAGTAATAAGCCCATGCCTGGTAACTAGCCCACCTGTCTCATATACAGTTCCTTAGGAATACTGACAAATTCTATTTCATGTGATTGAAAGAAAAAGAGGGTTTGAAACTTGAACACTCATGCAGGTCAACCCCTACTATATATACCACATGAAATGTACACGGCTAATCTGAGTTTCTTTTTAATGGTTTTACATTTACAATCTATTTTGTGTATACATTGTATAACCTTAATTTGTTCTTACATAAATATTGTAAAATATTTGGCGTAATGGTTTTTATAGTAACACTCGTTGTTAATTCCAGTATTTACACGAAACTTTTTCTTTTGAAAAAATCGGAGCCTGACTCACTACACATGTATGTAAGTCTTTTGTACATGTGTATGGGAAAAAAACCCTCCAAAACAATTAACATCATGTACATAAACTATACCTGCTTTTAAGTCTCAAAAATTACTATTAATAGAAGAGTGAAAAGGAATTAATGAATGTGTTACTTTGATCCAGATCTCTGCAATACATGAACTTCGGGTAATATCATCTGTTCGCTAAAACAGCTATGTCCTACATTAAACACCAGCTTGGGATAAAGCTGGACTTCTGTCACCTGGTTTGCTGTTTTGAATCACATGGTTTTGCTGGGTTTTTTTATCACGTAATAACTTTGTGTCAGAGAGGAATTATAACAAATTAAGGTCACTAACTTCCATCTTTTGTAATCATAGCCATATTAAAATATATAAAACATGGGAAAAATTAAATCATTCCATATATATATGAATCGTCATGTCGTGTTTAAGTAATTTCACGCTTGGGTGTAAACATTTGATTAATTTATATATTCATTTCAATTGAACAGACCCTGAGGTCCAATAAAAGAATTGATAACAATATGTATGTTATAATACAGTAACAAAGATATAAGCAAAAACAACAGTAATAGTATGTTTTTCAGTGTTTCTTAATACTTGACAAAGAGTGACATATAATATCAGAATTATAAGTATCCATGATAAGGTTAAATATCTTTGACTTCTCATAAAAAGGCTGAATTTACGAATATTAAGTCTGCTAAATGAGCTGTTAACTAAAGCTTGTCACACTTTGTCTGAGATTTCAGGTCAAAAATTCTGAAAGCGTTGACTTGGACATCTACTCACAGTCTAAACCTGCCTCTATCTCCCACAAAACACCATTGAATCATTGCTTTGACCAAAATTATATATTTAAAAAAAATGATACTGAGGTGAAACTGGTTAAAATTTGTATAAAAATCAATGTAGAAAAATAGCTATGATGTATAACTGAGGATTTTTTTTTTATTTATCAAAAATATCTTTTATATTCAGAGTTTGTGTGTTATTAACTTCATGTACTGATAAAACATAAAAATGAATAATTATTTCCTCTTTATGGGGAATTTTGTTTGAAATCTATCTCGATATGACCAATCAATGATGTAGCTGGATGCTAACATTTATTCTTTAAGTATAAATTATTATGGCAGTGTTGACTGTTATTTAACACTACATTGCTAAAGTTCAATCCTTTAATTTCTCAGTTTTAGATACTTTAATGCCTCTGAAAATAAAATTGATAAATAAAATTGATAAATGAAAAGACTTGTTTCAGTCCTAGTTAAAATTACTTTATTGTATTGTGTATTATTTTCTTTATTAGCCCACCATTATCAGAATATTGACTGGGGTTAAATCGCCCTAATTGTCTACCGTCTGTCCGCAACGGTCTTAAACCATACTTGTTATCGCTACTTCTCAGGAAGTACTTGACAGATCTTTGTCAAATTTCCTATCTTATATAGAGGTCCCCCATGATATGCAGTTTTGCATGCTTTATTTTGAGACTGATCGAAAAAAGCAAAAATAGCAACGTTGAAAGGAAACTCAAACCCAACTGCATGAAATATTAATCAAAATTTACACAAAAGGCTGACAAGATTATCAATCTAGTAGATATATATATTACAGAAAAAAATCAAACTTACTTGAAACTAATGAGTTTTTTTTTATGATGGTGGGTGCCAAAATCCCTCTGGTATCTCTTGTTATTGTAATTAAACATGTCTTTTATAATTAAACATAAGATCATTTAATATATATGTACGATTATAACCTGTTTCTGTACTCCACAGATCCGTGGAGACCTATGGGCAGTATGCTAGCACAGGCTTCAGTGTTAATGCGTTGTTCAAATCCCTGGGAAGCTTTGTCGGAATATTTGCCGGAGCATTTGCCATTGGTTCATTTATTGGTTGTCTAACAGCTGTCATATCCTTTCTTGTAACGGAATAACGAGTCATAAAGTAAAAAAAATAGAAATAGAAAAACACAGTGTTTACACACATGGTTTACATAGTACTGTGATGTTGATTTTAACATAGTACTGTGATGTTGATTTTAACATAGTAGTGTGATGTTGATATTAACATAGTAGTGTGATGTTGATTTTAACATAGTAGTGTGATGTTAATTTTTAACATAATACTGTGATGTTGATTTTAACATAGTACTGTGATGTCGATTTTAACATAGTACTGTGATGTCGATTTTAACATAGTACTGTGATGTACTGTGATGTTGATTTTAACATAGTACTGTGATGTTAATTTTAACATAGTACTGTGATGTTGATTTTAACATAGTACTGTGATGTTGATTTTTACATAGTACTGTGATGTTGATTTTAAGGCTGGCATTTTTAACGTAACTATATATACATGTCTAGCAGTTAAAAATATGTCTTCACAAATTTCTTTCCTTAACTCCAATCACATTACTAAGTACACGAAGATCCGTGACTTTCCTCTGTTGGAGACGGCCTTGTTCTTCCTCATGTCCTATAGCACATTCCAAGCTGCAGAGGCTGCAGGTCTTACAGGTAAGCTCACCTGTTTGTACAGGTAGGTATATATATATATATTACCTACAAGTTTTATGTAATGTAAGGATAATACAGGTAAGCTTACCTGTTGTACAGGTAGGTATATTACCAACAAGATTATGTAATGTAAGGATAATACAGGTAAGCTTACCTGTTTGTATAAATACAGAGACGACACATCATACACACACCGTGTACACAATCGTGCGATTTACGAGTGTTGGAAACTTTTTTATACGGCATGACTATGGCTTTGATAAATCATCTATAAAAAAAAACAAAAAAACATAAGTTGTGGGACTTTTATGGGAAACAATAAAGATGAAAAAATCAAAATTTAATCAATAACAGTGTAAACGTGGTTAGAGTAAAAAACAAACATCACCAGGCTAGACCCAGATTTGAACCCCGGACTTCAGACTGCTAGTATATATACTATTGCTCTAACTGATTGAGCTAACTGGTCGACGGAATTGTCCTGGCCCAATTGTTCTACAGTTCTATATTCAAGAGAAAGTTAAGGGGAAGTCACTGTATATAGTACACAGTGGAGTGGGGCAGGGATCCCTAACAATCGTTCACTCTGTTGTGTGCTTATGTCCACACAATAGTGGTATTGGGTAAATTTGGTTAATTAATATTACGAAATGAGAAAATCAGGAAGACCCGTATGAAATAAGATACATCGCAGATATTTAATTTCTGGTCTGAATATTTTGCTTCACACACCATGTGTGTTACAAAGTGTTACAGTGACCATAACGGGGCCTGACTCCCAGGTAACATCAGGCAAATAACATGTTTATGATTGACTAGTGCTATTCTGTGGGATACCACACAGGCCCACTATACCTTTTACTGTCGCTGTTGTAGGAATTGTAGCAGTGCTGTTCTGTGGGATCACACAGGCCCATTACACTTTTAACAACTTATCTGTGGAATCAAAGCAGAGAACAAAACAAGTAAGTGTAATTAATCCTCCAACTATTTAAACAAAAACAATTCCGGTCGATCAGACTTTGATATATTTATACGTTACTTATATGTTGTTTGTTATTATTTCTGCTAGCGTGCAATCCTACATTGCAGTAAGCTATAAGGCAGACATGCATTAACTAGCATGTTAAAATACACTAATTTTGATATCAAACAGTTATAGTTCTATACTGAGGTTACCTTGAAACTGACTATATAACTAATATTAGTTTCTGGTCAATAATGCCCTAAAAAAAATCTGATTTGTACCAAAGGACTATGTATGGTTTGGGCCTTTTTTGGCCCCCAAATCCATCAAAATTAAAAATCTGCAATAGAACTTTCAAACGAACGTTTCTTTAATTTTGAATACTTCCCCAGTACTATTATGTAAATATTTATTTGTGTTTTCAATTTTGGCTGCCATGGTAACCAGGTCATATTTGAATAAATTATTGAAATTTGATTATTCAGTCAATTTTGACAGGTTTTCACCTAGTTTTTCTCTTAGCTACCACAGAGTGCACTCTTGAACAAACTTTATATTTCTCCTAAAGATGTATTACAGGTGCCTTCACATTACCCTTTGATATATAGTTTGTTCAAGCATGCGCTCTATAGTTTCTAGGAGAAAAACTATGCAAAATATCCCATTCACTGAATACTCAAATTTTTCTAATTTATGCAAATTTGAACTTGTTACCATGACATCAATAATTAGAAATATAAATAAATATTTTCATAATAGTATTTAGGAAGTATTCGAAATTTAAGAAACAGTCATTTCAAAGTTCATTTAAAGGTTTTGAATTTTGATGCATTTAGGGGCCAAAACAGGCCCAAACCATACATACGATAGTCCTTTGATATGTACATTATATGAAGTCCCACATTAAGTTTGATCGTCATTGTGTTGTGATTAACGAGGTTACTTGATTCAGATTGGATGATTAGAAGTATATAGTAGCCAAGCAATAACTGCCATGAAAACTAGTTTGATTTCAACCAAATTTGGTATGCACGTACATAATGGCAACTCTGGTGCTAAGATATTGGTATGATGCGTGATTAATGAGGCTGCTCAGCTTTGTTGGGTTACAATGGGAGCAATTGAATGTTTAGCTCAGAAAGTGTTCTGTAGTACAGTTTATACTGTAAAAGTATGAAAATCCTCACATGTGGAAATGTCGACGTCTTCACTCCTTAATCTGCGGTGAAGGAATATTCGCACAGGTAATGGTTCGATATTTGTAACTATTCTATATGTCTATATTCTGTATACCTTATCTAAATACAGTATACTGTAAATAATTCGCCTTGGTAATGGTTCCGATATTTGTAATTATTCTTTATATCTATATTCTGTATACCTTATCTAAATACTGTATACTGTAAAAAAAATCGCCAGTCAAACTTTTGTTCTTTGCCCATGAAATCAATTTTTGGCCAATGTTAATTTTGTCTTTCACATTTCATTACTATTTAAAATATGTTGTTTACTTATATTCACTGCAATGATAAATTTTTCCTCATTACAAAGGGCAAAAAGGCGAAAATTAATCTACATTGAAAATTCCCTGGTATACAGTATACATATTCCCATTTGGGTATTTTAAGGCTTTTTGTGCAGTTCAAAAAATGCGAGCATTTCCAAACTGCCATGATTTCCTGTTTTACTGTACTTTATGCAAATACATCTAATATGCATATATGTTTTGTTTTCTGTTTCAGTTATTTGAACTGACCAATTTCCTGGCAGAAAACTTTGTCTTTCTCTACGTGGGCGTGTCTATATTCACATTCCACGCACAAAAGTGGCATGCAGGGTTCATCTTCTCCACATTCGTATCCTTTAGTTTGTAATGTACAACATCATAGTCTCTTTCTGTTAAAGGAGTTATAATGACAACATTATTTGAGGGAGAAAATGGAAATTACGTATGTTTCTGTACTGAATTCTGTCTGGAAATCTGAAAGTTACTTTTTGCTAAAAAATAATATTTTTTTACATTTCAGATATAAAAAATAATTTGAAGTGAAGATAAGAAGTCCATTTTACCTCCTTTCAAAAGAAGTTATTTTTTCTTGAGATTTCTCGTAATCATTTCATTTTCATTGACTGACATTAACTGAGACATTAACTCAGTTAAAAGTTTCACGGTTTGGGTTTTACTCACCGGGTAGGTTTGGAATTTTTGGTTTTTCTTAAATAAATGGGAATTAATATGTGAGGTTTATGCAGTTATTTTGATCAGTATAAGTTTTAGGCTGATCTTCAATATTTCAATTTTGGCAGATAAGGCTGACCTTCTGTAATTTGAATTGACCTTAACTTAAACTAGCTTGCTATTTTTGTAGCGAGATTCTGTAATGTATATCCGTTGTCTTTATTGCTGAATCTCGGCCGACGGAAAAAGATCAAAAGTTCCTTCATGAATATGATGATGTTTAGTGGTAAGTATGGGAGACTGACACACAGCCCTGGACCCGTCTCTGGAGGGGTTCTGCAATTGGGGAATACCAAGGATTTCGAAATTCCACCCGAGGCCCAGGGTTGTAAATTTGGGTAACTTCATGGATAGGGATTTTCACTTCAAGACAAGGGTTTTGAATTGGGGTTACATCAATGATAGGGAATTTTATCTGAGTGCCAGGGTTGTGTATTGGGGTAACATCTTTGATGGGGAATTTTATCTGAGTGCCAGGGTTGTGTATTGGGGTTACATCATTGATGGTGAATTATATCTGAGTGCTAGGGTTGTGTATTGGGGTTACATCATTGATGGGGAATTTTATCTGAGTGCCAGGGTTTTGAATTGGGGTTACATCATTGATGGGGAATTTTATCTGAGTGCCAGGGGTGTGTATTTGGGTAGCACATTTTATCTGAGTGGCAGGGTTGTGTATTTGGGTAGCCCATTTTATCTGAGTGCCAGGGGTGTGTATTTGGGTAGCACATTTTATCTGAGGGCCAGGGGTGTGTATTTGGGTAGCACATTTTATCTGAGGGCCAGGGTTGTGTATTTGGGTAGGACATTTTATCTGAGTGCCAGGGGTGTGTATTTGGGTAGCACATTGTATCTGAGTGCCAGGGTTGTGTATTTGGGTAGGACATTTTATCTGAGTGCCAGGGGTGGGTATTTTGGTAGCACATTTTATCTGAGTGGCAGGGTTGTGTATTTGGGTAGCACATTTTATCTGAGTGCCAGGGTTGTGTATTTGGGTAGCACCAATGATAGGGAAATTCTACCTGTGGCCCATGGCTTATGAATTTGGCCAATACAATGTAACATGGATAGGGAAACTCTTCCTGTGGGCCAGGGCTTATGAATTTTGGTAACATATCGTGGATAGGGAAATTCCACATCAAGCCCAGGGTTGTACATTTTGCAACATCATGCATATAAAAATTACAGTTGAAGCCCATGAGTTGTGAATTTGGGTAACATCATGTCTGGTGAAATTCCACCACAGGTCAGGGATTGTGAATTTTGGTAACTTTATGGATAGGGGAATCGCACCTAAGGCCCAGGATTGTGAATGTTGGTAACTTTATAGATAGGGGAATTGCACCTGAGGTGGGCCCAAGATTGTGATTTTTGGGAAATACATGTACCATGATGAGCCTATGAAGGTAGAACAACCCTGACTTTCACATGTAGGTATGGAAGAGTTATTTTCTCTCATATCCAGCCTTGATAAATTAAGAAAACACTCATCTGTTGTAGGAAAGTTAATGATTTTTGCCCTATACAGTTGTACATGTAGGAAATATTTGTATGTGTGTCTGCACTGGTGCTACACATGCATAAGGTCCGAGACCAGTTCTCGACTCTCAAACATCAAAGGCTTTGAAGATAAAAACTTGTGTGCTATTCAGTCAACAGTCAGGATGTAAAGAGACTGTGCCGAGATGTGACAGCGATGTTATCTGCACAAGGTTTTGTGCTCAGCACAGTCATTGATCCAAGGGAGATAACTCTCCCAAAATTCACCATGAAGTCATTTATTGTAAATTTGATATCCCAGAATATTTTGTAAGATAGTCTTTTGTTACATGCCCAAGTGACTGCTTTCCTAACCCTGGATGGTTTTATGTAATAGATATCTGTACACAGAGGGATGGGAGAAAACATTTCCAGAGTCATATTTTAAACAATAATAAAAGTTGCTATTTATGATACAATTCTGTTGTTCACTAGAACAATGTAATCTTTCCAAAATAGTTTACAATGTTTTCTGTTAAAGTCAATCTATTGTAATTAGATAAGCCTGACATGTCAAACCATACCCTGTATGAAGCCTTATATTTGTAATTACTTGTCCAGGTCTACGAGGAGCTATTGCTTTTGCCCTGTCTATCCGGAACACGTCGTCGGAGGCCAGGAGACTAATGGTGTCCTCAACAATGATGGTTGTTTTAGTGACCGTCGTCATCTGCGGCGGATTTACCACTCCTATGCTACAGTGGCTGCAGATCAGGTAAACATAGATTAATATTGTCTGATTTCTATCATCTTTGTGTGAGTCACTTTATCTGTGCTAAGGGAACGGCTGTATCTGTGCTAAGGGAACGGCTGTATCTGTGCTAAGGGAACGGCTGTATCTGTGCTAAGGGAACGGCTGTATCTGTGCTAAGGGAACGGCTGTATCTGTGCTAAGGGAACGGCTGTATCTGTGCTAAGGGAACGGCTGTATCTGTGCTAAGGGAACGGCTGTATCTGTGCTAAGGGAACGGCTGTATCTGTGCTAAGGGAACGGCTGTATCTGTGCTAAGGGAACGGCTGTATCTGTGCTAAGGGAACAGCTGTATCTGTGCTAAGGGAACGGCTGTATCTGTGCTAAGGGAACGGCTGTATCTGTGCTAAGGGAATGGCTGTATCTGTGCTAAGGGAACGGCTGTGCCAGTCAAAACAATAAATGTGGTTCTGATCTTTGACATATGTGTGGAGTATATAATATCGACTTTATTTATTCCACATCAATTATGACATACGTTGCTTCAATTTATATCAATCACTCTTGTTGGGGCCATTTATTATGTTAAAGCATGGTGTCTTTATGTGGGAGAAGAGGAGTACCAAAACCCAGGTGGTTGGGCAGGTGACCCAATTCTTTTTCAAGTCTGATCAGGAAATAGAACCCCCGTTGCCTTGGTGAAAGTTTGTGGAGTATTTACTGCCGCTATGCTACAGTCATGGAAGGTTGCATAATTTTAGAGAGAGAAATTGGATTTGCGATCACAGTCATAATCTGCTGTAAATTCACCCCCTTGGCTGTATGCCACAGGATGGCTTGGTTTATTCGTTCAGTCACTGGCTTATCATGAAGGCTGTAGTGGTTGGACTCCCACTATTAGTGTGGAATTTTCAGATACACAATTACCTCCTGCCTGCCATACAGTTCACTGGATTGCTTTACCAGAATAATCTCTCAGCTACAACTGAACGTAAGAGTTCCTCCGTCTGTGAGGATTGAAATGGAATCAGCTACGACTGTCAGCTACGACTGTCAGCTACGACTGTACAGAGGATGTTTACTTCAGGGTCAACGTAACAGATGAGAGATAGCTATATATATAGTAGATAAAAAATAAATAAGTCCTTGCGAAGGAAAATATAGAATAAAAACATAAATTTTTCAGATCGTCCGCTAGGCCTTTCTGCCTTCTAGGGCTTCTTCAGGCGGATTGATGTTTATTTATCACCGTTGGTGATAAATATATATATATATATAGTGTGTCCCATCCCATTTTGGCTTTTTCTTTCTCAATTGTGGAAAGGAAATTTTCCAAGCCCGATAATTAAACAGCTTGAATTGAATTGGTTGTATAACAAATATGCTGCCTAAATCTTTCGTGAGTTCCTGGTGTGATGAAACAAAAAATACCCAATATTTTGGGTCTGACTTAGAGTCAGGCCTCCTATTTGGACATGGTAATTATGTCCAGGTTAATAGTACTCACTTCTGTTTGTAGGGTCGGGGTCGAAGAAGACCAGGAAGTGACGGACGGTTCCAGTATTAGAACTGTAAGTTATACGTTAATTATAACTCATCATTATTTATCACAGTAAATCATTATTTTATAATATTTATACTAAATCATCTGTATTCATAATTAAATCAAACATAAAGCACTCATCAAACATCAAAACCAGGGAATGGTAGGTCGATCAGGATTTAACACTGCCACTTATAAAATATTATATAGGTGTCTCGCTCTTCCCTTGATACCAGCCCTCATTGAGAACTTTTTGCAATTTTACATTGAATTTTCTTTAAGACTGTTTCGGATATTGATGAAAGGTGAAAGGTCAATTTACAGCTTCTTTTGAACCAGTGTGGAACTTATATACATTATGAGAAGTAAATGACAGTGTGTATGTGTGGTAAGTGACAGTATGTGTTCAATATGATCAGTATGTGTGGTAGGTGACAGTACATACATGTATGTGTTCAATATGATCAGTATTTGACGCCATGAAGTGTAGGGGTTTGATTGATTTGATTGCCGTTCGTCTGTACTAGGCATCGACGAGACAACGTCAGTACAGTTCCATGGAAAGTCCTGTGGCGGAGACGCCCACCTTCTCCAACGATCTGGTGCGTCGAGGTGTTGTGGGTTCTGCATGGGTGGTGTACATAATGCAGGGCTGCCAGCATGTATTGGACCATATTAGGCCCATAGTATACTTAAAAGTGGTGTCTAAACAGGGAATTTTATTTGTTTGAAGTTATTTAGAAATGTTAAACATATATACTTCTTTCTACAAGATGACACTTATAGACATTTTTGTTTTTGTTTTCCTAAATAGATGATTAATTGAGATATTTTTATCACTTCATTTGTTTTGTCAAACTTAATTCAGACGTTAAGACTAAAGGTAACATGAAGAAGATTTGCATTTGAACACTATACAATGAAGGTCAAGGTCACCATAGATATATAGAATGATATTGTCATTGTCAGGCTATTATTGGTGGTAGAATTTCCATGAACTTGATTTTTATGCTGATGGAGGCACATAAATGTCTTACAGACATCCATGGGTTTGAAAAAGGAGTCGGATATTTGCCTCATTTGAATATAAAGATTTGCTGAATTTTATTGGAGGAAGTTAATTTGATATATTTATCAATGGTGCTGGCAGCCCTCAGCATGATTCTGTAGTTCTGGGTTGTTGTCTGTCTTCCTGTCTGTGTTAGGATGTTGTACACACCTGCATGGTTTTGATATATATGTTGTACAGTGCTATACGGTACATTTAATATTTTGTTTCCATTTTCCTTTTTATTTTTGAAAAACACATATCATCTTTAACTAAAATTTAATATGGAGTTGTGTTCTTCTAAATGCAAATTTAAAATAAAAGCATTTTTGAATATTTTTACAAATTTGCATTTTGGGATTTTTCTTTATCAAATTGGAATGAAATATGTCTAAATCTCGCTTGCATTTTTGTTCCGAATATACAGGAACTTTGTATTTAGCTATACAGAAATAAGCCAGGTACCTAACCTATATAAACTAGCGAAAAATGCATCAATTCAACTGCTTTTCTAAGAATGTCCTCCTGTGTGGACATCAAATTGTTGCATTGAAGATGGTACTGCTAGAGAAAAGCAGGAAACTCCAATATTTCATACTTTTGAAAGTTTTTTGTTTGTAAGAAAAGCAAGCTTTTGGTTTAATTTACACCCTGTACAGATCTCAAACCTACAGAGCTCATTCCAACAGATCAAAGAGATAAAGAGATGGAGAGAGCTCACACTTATACCCTATACATATCTCGGAGCGATAAAGCTCATTCCAACAGATCAGAGAGATAAAGAGAGGGAGAGAGCTCACACTTACACACTGTACAGGTCTTAAACCTATAGAGCTTACTCCAACAGACCAGAGAGATAACGAGAAGGAGAGAGCTCACACTTAAACCCTGTACAGGTCTCAAACCTATAGAGCTTACTCCAACAGATCAGAGAGATAAAGAGAGGGAGAAAGCTCACACTTATACCCTGTACAGGTCTCAAACCTATAGAGCTTACTCCAACAGATCAGAGAGATAAAGAGAGGGAGATAGCTCACACTTACACCCTGTACAGGTCTCAAACCTACGGAGCTTACTCCAACAGATCAGAGAGATAAAGAGAGGGAGATAGCTCACACTTACACCCTGTACAGGTCTCAAACCTATAGAGCTTACTCCAACAGATCAGAGAGATAAAGAGAGGGAGAGAGCTCACAATTACACCCTGTACAGATCTCAAACCTACAGAGCTCATTCCAACAGATCAGAGAAAAATAAAGAGAGAGAGCTCACAATTACACCCTGTACAGATCTCAAACCTACAGAGCTCATTCCAACAGATCAGAGAAAAATAAAGAGAGAGAGCTCACAATTACACCCTGTACAGATCTCAAACCTACAGAGCTCATTCCAACAGATCAAAGAGATAAAGAGATGGAGAGAGCTCACACTTATACCCTATACATATCTCGGAGCGATAAAGCTCATTCCAACAGATCAGAGAGATAAAGAGAGGGAGAGAGCTCACAATTACACCCTGTACAGATCCCAAACCTACAGAGCTCATTCCAACAGATCAGAGAGAAATAAAGAGAGAGAGCTCACAATTACACCCTGTACAGATCTCAAACCTACAGAGCTCATTCCAACAGATCAAAGAGATAAAGAGATGGAGAGAGCTCACACTTATACCCTATACATATCTCAAACCTATAGAGCTCATTCCAACAGATCAGAGAGATAAAATGAGGGAGAGAGCTCACACTTACACCCTGTACATATCTCAAACCTATAGAGCTCATTCCAACAGATCAGAGAGATAAAGAGAGGGAGAGAGCTCACACTTAAACCCTGTACAGGTCTCAAACCTATAGAGCTTACTCCAACAGATCAGAGAGATAAAGAGAGGGAGAGAGCTCACAATTACACCCTGTACAGATCCCAAACCTACAGAGCTCATTCCAACAGATCAGAGAAAAATAAAGAGAGAGAGCTCACAATTACACCCTGTACAGATCTCAAACCTGCAGAGCTCATTCCAACAGATCAAAGAGATAAAGAGATGGAGAGAGCTCACACTTATACCCTATACATATCTCGGAGCGATAAAGCTCATTCCAACAGATCAGAGAGATAAAGAGAGGGAGAGAGCTCACACTTACACCCTGTACAGGTCTTAAACCTATAGAGCTTACTCCAACAGACCAGAGAGATAAAGAGAAGGAGAGAGCTCACACTTAAACCCTGTACAGGTCTCAAACCTATAGAGCTTACTCCAACAGATCAGAGAGAAGAGAGGGAGAGAGCTCACACTTACACACTATCAAAACTCAAACCTACAGAGCCGCACCTACAGAGCTGATCACTCAAACAGATCAGATAGATAGAGCTCACACTTACACTTTGTACAGAGCTCAAACCTACAGAGCTCACACCACCTACACTGATAAAGCTTACCGTATTTGACCGCAAATAAGCCCCCACCCCTAGTGAAAAATATAGGTATACCTGCAATGATAACTTTGAGCAAAAACAAATGTCTATGCCTCTTAATTTTCAGATATGAGCCAGTGAACACTTATATTTGATAAATTAGAACCATGAATATATGTGCATGACTGTTTTAATTACTTTGCAGTTTAGCTTGCCGCAGTTTAGCTTGCCGGAGTGTTCATGCGTTCCGAGGGGTCTGTGTGGATTGTGTTCGTCTCGAAAGGCAACAGATCAATCATTTCCAATGCACAAAACACTTCTTATTATAAAGTAGAGATTTCGTGATTTTCGTAATGAATATATATATATATTGACTTCATTTTCTTGAATGTTATTGATTCTGTTGAGTTTGCATAAATAAATTCAAATTAGCTGTTTGACTGAATTGTAAGCCAAACAGTTTATTTGATTTACGCTTTCACCCCTATGTAACTTTAGTAGACTCTTACCATGCATTGATCTGGATGAGTCCATTATGGTCTACAGTGGTGAAAGGGTTTAAAAAAGGAGCAAAATTTCTACTTTATTGTACAGCAACAATATGACACGCCACACACAGATTTGACCACAGGCCATGGTCAAAGTTTATCCCCAGAGCATAGTCTAAGCACAACCAATGTTCGTAGCTGGCTAGGTCCAAAAGCAACCAACTTCACCTGCTTTCTCTGGCCGAAATGCACTCAACACATGCTAATTTTCTTAAATTTGTCTTAATTTTCTAGATTTACCATTTATTTGCCCTCGGCAGTTGTTAAAATATATAATTGATGTGTTTAAATCAAAACATGCAGCTTGTTAGGGTAAATTCCAGGCATCCATTAGATAATCATCAACATTTCAGCACGAAAATTCCTATGAAATTGTTTTGTAAATTTCTTTGTTTTGCTGTCAAGATTTTCACGTAGAAAGTATATTGAATGTAAGTATGTTGAAGACGATAATTTGCTTGAAGCCTAATGTTTAATTTCAATTTATTGCGAAACAACTGCAATATAGTTGTGGTTCTGTAGTTGATTTAACAGACTTTAATGCATCAGCATAATCAAATGAAGATAAATTTGTTAAATAAAAAAAGGTGTTTTGATTTTGGTAACTTGAAAAAAGAAATCGGACAAAATATGTGAGTATATAAATGATATACATGTATAAACAGTAAACTAAGGTATTTCCTCAGCTTCCTTCAAATTAAAGATGTTACCTATTTTCTTGTAAATATTTTCTCGATATTTTTTTTGCTTTTTGTTGCCTGACCACAAATTAGAGGGTACGTTTTCAGGTTTGCTTGCTTTGAATTTAGACACCCGGGATTTATCCTACAATACAAACTGTAACTCATTGTAGGGATTATTGCAGGACAATGAAATAGAATTTGCTGTCATTTCTACTGAACTGTATTTGACAAAGGATTCCTAGGTGTTTCCAGGCATGGGCTTATTTCCAGATAAATACGGCAGTTGTATACAACTTGCCATAGCAAACTCTTCACAGTTACTACAATTAAATCAGCATTATTTTCTTTTTCACTTATTATCCCCCCCCCACCCCTTACAGTTCTAGCTAGTGTTACATGTAGATTATGGTTGAAGCTCTAAATCATGATGTGAGCTGAAACTTGCCAATGCACATAGGAATACATGATCATGTGGTAATAACCATTACATTTACCGTATGTTCTGCTTAAAGGATGAGATTACAGATGAAGGTGTATGTATTAGCTAATGAATTGTTATGGTTCATTGTGTACAAGCTTTAAGGCTGATTACTGCAAATAGTGTATAATTATGAATAATTGAAGCAGAAAGTCAGTAGTTGACCAATCAGTTACAACTTGTTAGGGTTAGGGTTACAATCAGTTACAACTTGTTAGGGTTACACTCAGTTACAACTTGTTAGGGTTAGGGTTACAATCAGTTACAACTTGTTAGGGTTACACTCAGTTACAACTTGTTAGGGTTAGGGTTACAATCAGTTACAACTTGTTAGGGTTACAGTAAGGGTTACAATCAGTTACAACTTGTTAAAAACAACTTAATTATTACATGACATGTTCTTCAAAGCAGGTAACCAATCGTTGAAAGCATGTCAATAAAAATAACCAATCGCCAATAGCCTGTATTTAGCAAGTAGCCAACAACTTATGGCTGTTCAAAGCAAGTAACCAATCGCCAACAGCCTGTATTTAGTAAGTGATCAATAACTTATAGCTGTTCAAAGCAAGTAACCAATCGCCAACAGCCTGTATTTAATAAGTGATCAGTTACTTATAGCTGTTCAAAGCAAGTAACCAATCGCCAACAGCCTGTATTTAGTAAGTGATCAGTTACTTATAGCTGTTTAAAGCAAGTAACTTGAAGACTGTCAAAGCAACTTTTGATTCGTCATTTGATGAGATGTGTCAGTATATACATATATGTAATCAAAAGTATTCAACTCATTTCGATGTCAAAATGAAACGTTGACCAGGAAGTTGGATGGTAAGACAGCTCATTATCTGAGGATGATATGCCTTTTTGACTATGAATCTACATTCTCTTTCCTCTTTCCAATACTATTGAAAAAAATCTCACATAAGGCAGGAGTAAATACAACGGTATCAACATACAAGAACAAAATTGTAACTTAATGTTGACACATTAAAACAGCATAAGGAACCACGGGCACGCCAAAACAAAAAGGAAAAGAAATTATGAAACTGTGTGTAAAGGGGAGGTAAGACTTTGTGCCCCTTAACAGGGAGTGATTCCTATTTCTCCGTCCCTTCACAGGTGTGTCTCCCGTTTTAGCCGGGAAAGATCAGCATGTCACCCCCTATGGGGAGATAGCCTCGTGCCGTTTAGCTCGTGTTCAATTATGACGTCATTAAAATGTGCACCGGTAATTGGGACGTCATCAAAATTGAATGACGATATTCATACCCCACATGTATGTTTGTTTACACTACTGTCGGTGGAGTTATAACTGATATGATAGGATGGGAGAAAAACAATCCTCCTCTACCTTGAGGGTGTGACGGATAAATCTTCAACCCTCGGGGTGATTTTTTATGTTGTCTAACCCTCGGCAGAGCCTCGGGTTAGACAACCAAAATACATCACCCCTCGGGTTGGAGATTTCTCTATCACACCATCAAGGTAAGGGAAGGTTCTGTTAGTCACATCTGCCTTGATTTCCCCCGTCAAATCAAGGAACGGCTCCAGTTGATAAAATACGTAATGAACCTCAGATACGCCCTGGAATTCTAGAATTAACCTGTGATGATGACTGTAAAATTTCTCGTGTGAATGGTGTTTCTCAACAGTGTTTATAATCGAGATCGAGGGCAATCTGACCCTCCCTACCCTGCTAGTTAGATTTCCAAGGAGTGACACCAAGTAAACTAAATTTACTGTTAAACATTTAAATTTTAAATAGAAAGTTGGAGATGTGTGGAACTGTGTTTAAAGAAATCATGGAGTTCTGTCTTAATTATTTGTAATGATATAAAATCAAGATAATTGATGCTAATGGTCACATATAGTAGTAGTATCCTTTGGACTCACCTAGCTTAATGCACCATCTACACAGATGTTTTGATATGTGTTCTGCAAACATTTGTAATGTCACAATAAGAAATTGGAGACAAATGGTGGAGGTTTGTCATATTCTTTCAATTTACAGAATCTGTCAATATACTAGATGATATGGTGGCACTGGTGATAAATAGAATCTTTAAATCTTTTCTATTCCTTTTGGTAATTGGTCCTCATTTTATCCCCCTCCCCCCATCAAAATAAAATTAGCTGGATACACGGGGATCAGGGGTCTGTCTGTCTGTAGACAGAGGTTTGTCAGGAGCATTTACTGCTGTGATCTTCTTATCCAATTTCCATTAAACTTGCATTGGTTTACATGATCAGTGCCTAAGTGGGTATAGTTGTGCAAATGTGATTTTATTTTGATTTAGATGATTTCCTTTAGAGTTATGTCCCTTTCTGATATCCTCTTAATATTTTTGGCTGCAGTATTGCTCCTTACTGTCAGCACAAATATTTATGAAACTTGGTACGCATTATTTGTATTCTAAGTAGCTTTGGGCTTGGATTTTTTTTTTTGACAGGAGTTATGTCCCTTTTCTAATTTTGTAAATGGGAGCTGGTGGTATTGGTAAGCTTATTGCTTACTGTTCTAATTGATATTGATTTATAAAGAGAGTATGTAATGGAGTCACATTTGATACATCATATATATATACATGTATATCTAAAAATGTACAACCAGCATCGATTGACTATTGTTTCTATCGTTTTTCATTCTAAAGTATAAAATACAAGCTATATAATGGGTCAGTCATGTACTGGAGAATTAACCTACGAGGATGGATACAAATCTATCAACATGAATAAGAGATTCTTTTGTTCACCCTAACAAGGAAGTGAACCAATTCTGTAGCCGTTATGGAAATGATGTAACCTGAAGTAGCTAATTATATAATGGGATCATGAAACTAATAGGTGTAATGGGAGTGATGAAATCTATAGTAGTTATGACAGTGATGAAACCTCTAGTAGTTATGGGAGTGATGAAATCTCTAGTAGTTATGGGAGTGATGAAATCTATAGTAGTTATGGGAGTGATAAAACCTATAATAGTTATCGGAGTGATGAAACCTATAGTAGTTATGGGAGTGATGAAACCTTTAGCAGGTATGGGATCATGAAACTAATAGGTGTAATGGGAGTGATGAAATCTATAGTAGTTATGACAGTGATGAAATCTATAGTAGTTATGGGAGTGATAAAATCTATAATAGTTATCGGAGTGATGAAATCTATAGTAGTTATGACAATGATGAAATCTATAGTAGTTATGGGAGTGATGAAATCTATAGTAGTTATGACAGTGATGAAATCAATAGTAGTTATGGGAGTGATGAAATCTATAGTAGTTATCGGAGTGATGAAACCTATAGTAGTTATGGGAGTGATGAAATCTATAATAGTTATCGGAGTGATGAAATCTATAGTAGTTATGGGAGTGATGAAATCTATAGTAGCTATGACAGTGGTGAAATCAATAGTAGTTATGGGAGTGATGAAATCTATAGTAGTTATCGGAGTGATGAAACCTATAGTAGTTATGGGAGTGATGAAATCTATAGTAGTTATCGGAATGATGAAATCTATAGTAGTTATGGGAGTGATGAAATCTATAGTAGTTATCGGATTGATGAAACCTATAGGTGTAATGGGAGTGATGAAACCTATAGTAGTTATGGGGTCATGAAACCTATCGATGTTGTGGGAGTGATGAAACCTTTAGGTGTAATGGGAGTGATGAAACCTTTAGCAGTTATGGGAGTGATGAAACCTTTAGCTGTGTTGGGAGTGATGAAACCTTTAGCAGTTATGGGAGGGATGAAACCTCTAGATGTTATGGGAGTGATAAAATCTATAGGTGTTATGGCAGTTATGAAACCTATAGCAGTTATTGGAGTGATGAAATCTATAGTAGTTATGGGAGTGATAACACTTTAGGTGTAATGGGAGTGATGAAACCTATAGCAGTTATTGGAGTGATGAAATCTATAGTAGTTATGGGAGTGATAACACTTTTAGGTGTAATGGGAGTGATGAAACCTATAGTAGTTATATGGGGTCATGAAACCTTTAGCAGTTACGGGAGTGATGAAACGTCTAGATGTTATGGGAGTGATGAAACCTTTAGCAGTTATGGGAGTGATGAAACCTCTAGATGTTATGGGAGTGATGAAACCTATAGATGTTATGGGAGTGATGAAACCTTTAGCTGTTACGGGAGTGATGAAACCTATAGATGTTATGAGAGTGATTAAACCTTTAGCTGTTATGGGAGTGATGAAACCTATAGATGTTATGGGAGTGATGAAACCTTTAGCTGTTATGGGAGTGATGAAATCTAAAGCTGTTAACGGTAATGATGAAACTGGAAATGCAAGTTTTGGAGAAATACACCAAGGCTGCAAATACACCAAGGCTCCAATTCTGGATTACAAAACCTTTACTAATACCTTCTGTGTGCCATAATTAGTCAAGTGGATAAGTATATTATAAATGTTGGACTATACAATTATGAACTTTGTTTTAATCTTTCAACAGGAGGAATACTTAGATGAAAGTAGCATGCCTGAACTGCCAGAATCCCCTCTACTTGAGGTAGTGTTTTTCTTACAGCCACTGTATCGACAACTTTTTTTCATCATTTCTCAAGAATCAGCTTATGTAAAGATTGATATAATTTATCAAAGTATAACTAGACCATGCAAAAACAAACCAAATCATGAATTTTATCTTCATACTGTACAACTGATTTTTTTCCCCAAAAAGATTGGAAGGAAATGGTGATGTGATGTATTAGATTCTTTATTCTACACCAAAGCAATATCAGTCAGGGTAGCCACTATTGAATATTAAGAAAAGCACTTCATATATATTTATCCTTTCATGTGTTGAGCTCACTTACGTTCTCTGCGCCCCTGGAATATGTCGTAGCAAAATTGAAGGCACTGGACTAGCTGTTTCGTCACAGGTCAACCAAAACTGACCAATCACTATAAGGCTGATACCAGTCCTTTGAAGATTACTGAGGAGCGACACCGGACTTCAAAGCCAGTCAATCTTCCCCTTACGTTATGTGACCGACAGATCTTTTGATGTACATCAAAGGATCAATCTTTTCTTTTAAATGTTTCATTCACAAGGTGGCGCACACTGAGCCTTCGATTTTGCTATGACATATTCCAGGGGTGCAAAAAGTGAAAGTTAGCATAACCCCTGAAGTGTCGAGGATGCTACAAATAACAGAAACAACTCAATGTGTATGAAAAATATATATTTTCTTTTGCTGTTTCATATCATTGATTTTTTTTTGTTATTTCTGCTTATGGAAATATGCAGTAAACATAACAATATTTTTTTATTTTTTAATATTTTAATATTTTAATATTTCATTTCTGAGAAAATGTGTAAAAATTGTTGTCTTTTGAAGGAGTTTTAGATATAATTTTGTTCCCTCCCTCGAGATGATAGAAATGACAGTTGCTGTTAGTTTTACTTGGGCATAGTCTTTTGTTTACAACAATAACCCAATCTGCTGTGTCCTAATTCCTTAACCGTTTGCCAGGTGTCATAACTTTGATGAATTTTATCTGTGATTTAAGAATATGTCGCTTTACTCGCTACACCTGTGATTTAAGAATGTGTCGCTTTACTCGCTTCACCTGTGATGTACGTGGGGCATGCCCTGTGATGTACGTGGGGCATGCCCTGTGATGTACGTGGGGCATGCGTGGGGCATGCCCTGTGATGTACGTGGGGCATGCCCTGTGATGTACGTGGGGCATGCCCTGTGATGTACGTGGGGCATGCCCTGTGCATGAGCAAGAATACACCATATATACAAGCTTTCAGCTGTATCTGTGACTGTAAGGTTTCTTATTACCCCATTAAACATTAAACGATGGGGGCATGACGAGTTTGCCTTTCACTATCTGTCCGCAAGATTCAAGATTTCATTGTTCACTCAGACACACACAAATGTGTTACAGAGGTTGCATATAATCAGCAGATTTTACACATGGCGGAACGCAACTTTAACATTATATATAATTTCACATGAAGTATTCAAATCTAATCTTGTACATTTAGGAATTTTTGAAATTTTTCTACAAACTTTATAATAAACATGAGATATAGAACCCGAACATCAGAACAAAGAAAATACCTGGTGCTCAGACGTTCATTTTTGTCAGACTAGAATATTACAGTAATAATTTGGAATGTATAATGTTTGGATTCAGCATACTGATTCATATTAACAAATAAATAAATAAATAAAGATACTTGCCATCTTTCCTGTAGATTCCACAGTTCTGTTAGATTCAGTAGTTTAAACCAGAAAATATAGCTTTTACATAATGATGTCCTTCTTAGTCAGAATACAATCGGTCAAACCATTATCAGACTTCATTGGTGGGTGTACAGCTTGAAGATAACTTACACCGTCTGTATATATCAAATATAAGTTACTATATATATATCTTTCATTTAGCTTCATTTACATTGAAATGGGATAGGGCAGACATATGGTTCAACAGAATTGTTCCAGTCTTTCATATTTTCAAAAGGATGTAGGCCTGTTGTTTAATTAAATTAGCAATCTTTTGAATCAAGAAACCTTAAAAGTCTGATTCAAACTGTTTTTCCATAGAATTCAATTTTTATTTCACTCTGCCCTTTTTTGAATTTTTGGAAATTCTTGTAATGCTTCAGTTTTGACCATAATAACATCGTTGAAACGCTTAATTCACTTTTGTTGTAAATTGTATCATGTCATTATAGTCTTTTGAAAAACTACAAATTGCAAATGTTTATTAACGAACATTTCTTTAACAGTGAGGTCCTTAATATACAAATTTTGTAAGTCATGTAAAGAAAGAGTTTGATTGTTTTCACTTTTTCTGCATTTTGTGAATTTTTGTCTAGACAGCTTATTAGGAAAAGAGGGCCTATTTTTTTAAATTGTGTATTTACCTATTTAACGGACCTGAAAATGAACGTTACGACTCCTGTAACCTTTGAATGCTAGATAGGATTAATGTGATGAATAGCTGACAGTTTTATCTGTGGCTGAGTGGTTAAGGCGTCTGGCTGTCTTCATCTGTGGCTGAGTGGTTAAGGCGTCTGGCTGTCTTCATCTGTGACTGAGTGGTTAAGGTGTCTGGCTGTCTTCATCTGTGGCTGAGTGGTTAAGGCGTCTGGCTGTCTTCTTCTGTGGCTGAGGGGTTAAGGCGTCTGGCTGTCTTCATCTGTGGCTGCGTGGTTAAGGCGTCTGGCTGTCTTCATCTGTGGCTCAGGGGTTAAGGCGTCTGGCTGTCTTCATCTGTGGCTGAGGGGTTAAGGCGTCTGGCTGTCTTCATCTGTGGCTCAGGGGTTAAGGCGTCTGGCTGTCTTCATCTGTGACTGAGTGGTTAAGGGGTCTGGCTGTCTTCATCTGTGGCTGAGTGGTTAAGGTGTCTGGCTGTCTTCATCTGTGGCTGAGTGGTTAAGGCGTCTGGCTGTCTTCATCTGTGGCTGAGTGGTTAAGGCGTCTTGCTGTCTTAAATAACTACCCATCTATCACTGGGTCGTGGGTTTGAGGACTGCAAGGTACTGGCAGCAGGTTGGTGGTTTTTCTCCAGGTACTCCGTCTTTCCTCCACCTCCAAAACCTGGCACAGCCTTAAATGACCATATCTAGCAGTTAATAGGATGTAAAAGCCAAACCAACCAACCAAACAGTTTCAGCATCGTTGTTATGTTCAAGATCTGTTATCTTGGCTACTGAACATTTGAAGATGACATGCCAGAACTTGTTTTTCATCGGATATCAATATCTTACTGAAATACTGAACAGCATATTCCTCTGATTTCAGGATATTTCTGCGGGGATGATCTTTTTAGCGATACCGCGGGTCAATAATGTGATAGCAAAAATGTAATACGATCTGCAGATTAATATGACAAGCGAAAAAGTTAAACATTGTAACCTTAATGTTGTCTTGAAATAACAAGCATGTGGTTGTTACGATTCATTTACAACAGGATTATCACGGGAGGTTTTCCAGTTATTCTTGTTTTTAAAAGTTCAGTCCTACCATAATCCAATCAACTATGTTCCAGAAAGTTATGGTACAATATATTTTCACAATGGTGTACTTTTAGTCTATGAATTATCTTTGTATTGCCAATATCTATTTGCTGAAGACATTACGAGTGCATGTGTGTAACACTAAACATTATACACTTACTAGAAGACCATTTACGCACTAACATTAGAATCATTTATATAAACTGTATTATATATTAATCATTGTACTAAACTTTGTTATTTTATATGTAATAACACATGACTGCAAACCTTGGTTTCCTTACAGAAAAAAATCTTATGTATTTTAACAAGGATATGTCAATTTTAAACGAACATTTATAGTTGTGCCCAATTATATATTTTTTTTATGTACTGACCTCATTTCCTGTTGCCTTCTCAGATGTCAATTTTTTCAATAATAATAATGATATCTTTCACTGATAAATATATATATATACAGTCTAAAAGTTATGACCAATGCATATGAGTTTTGAAAATGCTGCTTTTACGAAACATTTGTATGATTCTGTAAGAAACATTTGTACGATTCTGTACGAAACATTTGTACGATTCTGTACGAAACATTTGTACGATTCTGTACGAAACATTTGTACGATTCTGCGAATGATTAACACTTGCTTTTTAGCTCCTTATTCTGGTCAATATATTTTGAACTTTTCTCGTGCTTTTGAAAATTGAATTGTTGTCAATTAAATAGATAACTTGATCAGTTTGAAACTTAATAACTTGGCTATATAATATAACTTCCTGCATCCGATTAAATTCAAATTCCCTCTGATGAATGTTTTAATGCTAATCATAGATTTGTATGTTCCATTGTTAGTAATACATATAAACAGTGAATTTTTATCAGAAGTTAATGAAGATTTTGTGACTGTTTTATTAAGCCTAATAAGAACTGGTTTTATGTAATGTAAATGTATGTGTTCTGAGTTTTTCTGTGTCTCGACAAAGGAGCATGTTTTTCCAAAAATTTGACAACCTCATATTTTCTACACTGTTGTAATTTCTGCCTTGCCCCATACATAACATTCACTTGTATAACCTATAACTTAATTCTCTATGTTGTTTGTTGTGAATGAATGTCGTTACATTTGGCATGCTGTATTGTTAAGGTCAGTGACGACTGCCTGCATCTCCAGTCACTAGTTATTTTGGTGCTAGCTCCACCTAATAAGACACGGTTACCAGAACAAAATCTGAAGCCAACAATAATCATAGAAGTTAGACATTGTAAGATAATTACAACATTAGATACCATGATATTGAGACCCTGTTTAGAAATTTCAACAAATTGTTCCGCTCTTGGAATAGAACCACTCTATAATTCTGTGTTTAGAAATCTATCAAATTTTGACCTGACTTCAAAAGCTAGACCCTAACCTCGACATGGCTGGACAGGACTGGTATAACACAGCTGTCAGTTTGAGTTACCGCACTATTTCTCACATCAGAACAATCCTCTAATTATCAAACATCAAATTCATGTGTATGGAAATGTTCGCATTTTGACTTTTGACTTTTAAAACTGACCGTGGTTAGTTCATTTTTGCTTTGGCATCTATTCCGAAATCTTTCTATTACACATATCCAGGTATCATATGTATTCACATGTAGATGATTTTGCACCTATTTACTTAGTGTGAAAGTCAGCATTCCTTCACAATCATAATTTGCATCTTTACAGTATTTACTGAGAAAAAGTCTCATTAACGACCCTCCTATATCTGTAACCGCTACTAAAGTTTATTGTGAAAAAACCTCTTATCGATAGCGCAGCCCAAATAATTATGGTTTTACGTTACCCAGAATGATTTGTCCAAGGCATCCCAGGTAAATTGGGCAGTACAGTCAACATCTGTGAGGAGGGTTGATCTCTGACAACAGGGGCTAGTGCTTCCCTTACCTGGTATATAACATATGTTTATATTCTTTAGGGAGGATCCACCGTGGAGATCAGTCAAGGCAAGAAGCCGCGTGATGCCAAAGCTTGGCTGGTGGCTCAGTGGCATAGCTTTGATGTCAGGTACGTACACCGACAAGCTGGGGGTGAACTCAGCACTGTATATGTTAATCCACAGACAATGATACTTCTGGGAGTATTTCAAAGATGTATGATTTTTATGCCCCGACCATTTCATGTTGGTGGAGGCTTTATTGTTACCCGTTTCAGGCCAGTCCCGTCCTGTTGCGATTCATTTTCATGACTCTACCGTGTTTCAGGCCAGTCCTGTCCTGTTGCGATTCATTCTCATTACTCTACCGTCTTAATTTCTTAACAAATTTTCATCAAAATTGATACAGAAGTCAAATCTGAGAACCCTAAACCCTAACCCTAACCCTAACCCCAGAAGTCCAATCTGAGAACCCTAACCCTAACCCTAACCCCAGAAGTCCAATCTGAGAACCCTTTGGATGAGTTGGTATTTCAAGGTCCCAAGACAATGCCAAGGTCACTTGCTATTTATAGGTTGATAGCAGGGTAAAGGGGGCATTACGTAACAGCTTTTGGGGAAGGATGACTTTGGGAGCATGCAGGGTGTTTTTACTTCAGTTTTATGGAAATACTTAATTCCATGCATTGGAAAACTCTTAAACAGGACAGGTTCTTGTAAAGATTATAAACTTCCTCCAAGCATAACTAAGGTAATTTTTTAAAAGAACTTGTTTGTAAATAAACCACCATTTTGTTTAAAACTTCTTTATCATTGAAGTGTAAGCCTCTTTCGATGTTACTTTAAGATAAATTGAATGACCTTGATTTACAATTGATAACCACGTTAACCGTGGCCTTTGTTTTTCTGTGTAGATTTATGAAGCCGTTCCTGACCCACTGTCGGCCGACACTGATGGATACGTCACCAGCCTGTTGTATGCCTCTAGCTCGTATTCTTACTACAGTCGAACAGCTACAAGGGGTACAGTACCTTACACACGACTCCATGATATAGATATTCTAGGGTATATTGAGGTAGCCTCAGTGTGGTTGTAGTACCTTACATGCGACTCCATGATATAAATATTCTAGGGTATACTCTGGTACCCTCAGTGTGGTTGTAGTACCTTACATACGACTCCATGATATAGATATTCTAGGGTATACTGAGGTAGCCTCAGTGTGGTTGTAGTACCTTACACACGACTCCATGATATAGATATTCTAGGGTATATTGAGGTAGCCTCAGTGTGGTTGTAGTACCTTACACACGACTCCATGATATAGATATTCTAGGGTATATTGAGGTAGCCTCAGTGTGGTTGTAGTACCTTACACACGACTCCATGATATAGATATTCTAGGGTATATTGAGGTAGCCTCAGTGTGGTTGTAGTACCTTACACACGACTCCATGATATAGATATTCTAGGGTATATTGAGGTAGCCTCAGTGTGGTTGTAGTACCTTACACACGACTCCATGATATAGATATTCTAGGGTATATTGAGGTAGCCTCAGTGTGGTTGTAGTACCTTACACACGACTCCATGATATAGATATTCTAGGGTATATTGAGGTAGCCTCAGTGTGGTTGTAGTACCTTACACACGACTCCATGATATAGATATTCTAGGGTATATTGAGGTAGCCTCAGTGTGGTTGTAGTACCTTACACACGACTCCATGATATAGATATTCTAGGGTATATTGAGGTAGCCTCAGTGTGGTTGTAGTACCTTACACACGACTCCATGATATAGATATTCTAGGGTATATTGAGGTAGCCTCAGTGTGGTTGTAGTACCTTACACACGACTCCATGATATAGATATTCTAGGGTATATTGAGGTAGCCTCAGTGTGGTTGTAGTACCTTACACACGACTCCATGATATAGATATTCTAGGGTATATTGAGGTAGCCTCAGTGTGGTTGTAGTACCTTACACACGACTCCATGATATAGATATTCTAGGGTATATTGAGGTAGCCTCAGTGTGGTTGTAGTACCTTACACACGACTCCATGATATAGATATTCTAGGGTATATTGAGGTAGCCTCAGTGTGGTTGTAGTACCTTACACACGACTCCATGATATAGATATTCTAGGGTATATTGAGGTAGCCTCAGTGTGGTTGTAGTACCTTACACACGACTCCATGATATAGATATTCTAGGGTATATTGAGGTAGCCTCAGTGTGGTTGTAGTACCTTACACACGACTCCATGATATAGATATTCTAGGGTATATTGAGGTAGCCTCAGTGTGGTTGTAGTACCTTACACACGACTCCATGATATAGATATTCTAGGGTATATTGAGGTAGCCTCAGTGTGGTTGTAGTACCTTACACACGACTCCATGATATAGATATTCTAGGGTATATTGAGGTAGCCTCAGTGTGGTTGTAGTACCTTACACACGACTCCATGATATAGATATTCTAGGGTATATTGAGGTAGCCTCAGTGTGGTTGTAGTACCTTACACACGACTCCATGATATAGATATTCTAGGGTATATTGAGGTAGCCTCAGTGTGGTTGTAGTACCTTACACACGACTCCATGATATAGATATTCTAGGGTATATTGAGGTAGCCTCAGTGTGGTTGTAGTACCTTACACACGACTCCATGATATAGATATTCTAGGGTATACTCTGGTAACCTCAGTGTGGTTGTAGTACCTTACATACGACTCCATGATATCGATATTCTAGGGTATACTCTGGTACCCTCAGTGTGGTTGTAGTTCTCGTTTTGTTCGGCACCCCATAAAGCGGTTAGATTGCATAATTTTGGTTGAGATTCAGTAATTGTCACATTGATGACCATAGTGAAAAGGTTTTAAGTTTCTGCAACTCTTTTTGTTTATCATAATTAACTCAAGATTGTAGAATTTGGCACAAAACCGAGGCTGATGGAAGTTCTAACTCCTAATTAAGAAGTGTCTAAGGTCAAGGTTACTGTGACTAAAATAGACCATTGACGGGGTGAAGGGTGTTACGATCAGTTACACACATTCAGTTACACGCATGGTGGGGTCGGCCTTGCTGTCTGTGTTCTAGATATTTTGACCTTTGTTTTCTGTTTCAGAGTGACCCTACCAAGGATGCAGACTCTGATATAGATATGATTATAGACCACCGAGAACTATCAATAGGAGAAGATACCGTAAGTACGGTGTCCCAGTCACAACCCTACAACAGCACGGAGCCCGTCTCACAGGTACTAGTCACATCCAATCACCGCTTCAGCCTGCTTTGTCACCTAGTCGCAAACAGTCCCTAAGAATATTGCAGTCACATTACATCGCAAACACAACCCTACAAAATCATTGAGTCCATCTCACTTGTACATGGCACATTGTGACATTTAGCCACAGCCTCGGATTTTCAGCTAGTCACAAACAGTCACTAAGTATGTGACAGTATAAACATCACAAACACAATCCTACACCAGCACGGAGCTGGTCACACAAGTTCTGGTCACATTGTGTCACAGTCACACTGCGTTGTAGAGTCATAGGCTTGATTTGTCACAAACAGTCACTAAGTATGTGACAGTATAAACATCACAGACAAAATCCTACACCAGCACGGAGCTGGTCACACAAGTACTGGTCACATTGTGTCACAGTCACACTGTGTTGTAGAGTCAAAGGCTTGATTTGTCACTTAGTCACAAACAGTCACTACGTATGTGACAGTATAAACATCACAGACACAACCCTACACCAGCACGGAGCTGGTCACACAAGTACTGGTCACATTGTGTCACAGTCACACTGAGTTGTAGAGTCATAGGCTTGATTTGTCACTTAGTCACTAAGTATGTGACAGTATAAACATCACAGACACAACCCTACACCAGCACGGAGCTGGTCACACAAGTACTGGTCACATTGTGTCACAGTCACACTGAGTATGTGACAGTAAACATCACAGACACAACCCTACACCAGCACAGAGCCAATCTTCTCCAGGTACAAGTTACATTGTGTCCATTTGGTGACAGTCAGGGTACCTGAAATATACATAGTTTTAGGCCTAACTAACGAGCTTACATGCATTTCAGTGTGTTTAGCTACTAACTATTGCGTGTAACTGGTAGAGTAACATGATATTAGCAGCACAAGTTTCAATTCACAGTCAGTATTAGACATATAATTTGCTTTCTTTTGCTTCAGAGTTGAGTTGAAAGTTTTGTTTTTCTTTTGTTTGAGGTGGATGTGTGGGTACATTCCCAAGTCTCCCTAGATGACCCTCCCCTGACCCCCTGACCTTATGACCTCCGACCTAAGATTCTATTTCACCTGTGCTAAACACCTGTCAACTGTAAGTCTGTTTAGAATAGGTATCTACCACAGAGCCTGTGTATGTCTCCACAGCTAGCCCTGGTGTGT